ATTTCTTAATATGTTATATGTAAATTTTCAAAAAGTTTTGTGGTGAAAAAATATCCTCCCTCTCTTTATACCTAACAACCTCAGTCTCTTACCGGTCCCCACCCTGACTAGTTTATTTATAAAAATTTTATATATACTTCCAGAGTTATAGGTACAAATATATTGTGTATTTTCTCTTTTTAAGTACATAAACATTGTCACTTTTCACTGTACTAATGTTAGAAATCTTCCTGCTCAGCTCTGTTTGACACCAGTCTGACCTGCTTCTCCTTCTGCTGCCCTTGGGAGGCATTGCTCCTGTTTAAGAGAATTGGAGCTGCATGCTGGCACATGTCTTAAATCCCAGAACTCTGAGACAGAGGCAGGTGGATCTTTGTGAGTTTGAGGCAAGCCTGGTCTACAAAGCAAGCTCCAGGACAGCCAGGACTACACAGAGAAACTCTGCCTCAAAAAACCAATGAATGAATGAATGAATGAATGAATGAATGGGGGAAAAAGAGAGAAGTGGAAAGAGATAGGTTGGGTCCTGGTCATGGCAGACAAGGCATGTCCAGAGCTGTGCCCTGTGGACTGTGCTGCCCTTTGCACTGTGTTGTCTCCGCTGTGGTGTCCTCGAATAGTGCTGCAAGGGCCTTGGTCATGATGAGGGACAGTGGAGTCTCCAGATGGCAGGTTTGCAGGGTCCTTTGGTATTGTTCTTGACAATGCTTTCTTTTTTTTTTTTTTTCCTCCCTCCTCGGTTATTTTAACTGCCAACCCCTCCTTCCCACTTTTTGAACTTGCTTCTTGTGGCACTGGCCGAGCCCCATGCAGCCCAGAATCATCACTTCCCTCGGACATATTATCACTCAGGTCACTTCCATCATGGCTGTGGATGCCTTCGTTTTCATCAATGTCCGGTGACTCGTTTTCAGCCAAAGTGATAGGCGAGGCCGTTACGGTTGGTGATGGGACCGGAGGCAATGGTGACACCGGTTCGGGTGCTGAGGCTTTCACAGGGACACTGTCTGGGTTCTGCTCAGTGTCCACTTCCATTTCACAAAGCCCAGCTGAACCAGTCTGACACTTAGCATGTAACGTTTCACCACCTGACCCATTTGAGTTTTGTTCCGAGGATAAGACACTGGTAGATTCCCTGTGAGCAGCAAGCGTAGCTAGACTCTTGCCAGCTTCCTCTGTTCCCACTTTCTTGAGAGGGGCCATTTTATTTCCTTCCCCATTAGAGCCAATTTCTTGGTCCTTGGGTGTCTCGTCTCTTCTTGAGTTTCCCTTTGGAAGATCCTGTGTGCGCCTGCTTCCCTTCAGAAGCTGGCTATCTCTAACAGGCACTAAGCCAACTTCAATAAGGACTTGCTCCTGCCGCACCACCTCACTCCTCATGCCCGACCTCTCCTTGGTTACTCTCTTTTCGGGGAGAAGACATTTTGGTGACTGGTTTCACTTGAAGAGGTGGCTCCATGACAGCAGGAGGCTCCTTCTGAACAGATCCCATGTGAGGAGGCCCTGTCTGAACAACCTCCACCTGAGCATGGTCCAAAGGACAAAGCAGCCTCTTCTGACAATGTCCCTGCTGAGACTCCATGGGAGGAGGCGGCCCCATCTGATCAGGCTCCATGGGAGGAGGCGGCTCCCTCTGAGCAGGCTCCATGAGAGGAGGAGGCTCCATCTGATCAGGCTCCATGGGAGGAGGCTGTTCCATCTGAGTTAAGCTCCATGGGAAGAGGCTGTTCCATCTTTGGAGGCTCCATGGGAGGAGGCAGCTCCCTCTGAGGAGGCCCCAGGGGAGAAGGCAGCTCCCTCTGAGCAGGCTCCAGGGGAGGAGGCAGCTCCCTCTGAGGAGGCCCCAGGGGAGGAGGCAGCTCCATCTGAGCAGGCCCAGTCTGAGCAATATCCATGGGAGAAGGAAACCCGGGCTGAGTAGAGCCTGTAGGGGTGACCACCACCTGAGTGAGCGCAGGACCGGAAGAGACCTCCTCCTGAGCCAGCTCCATGGAAGGAGGCTCTGCTGTGCCATCTCCTTCTGCATCTCCCAAGCAGGTCTGCTGCCTTTCTTACTTGATTTACCTTTTTGAGGTTTCTTCTTTGCACCTTTTTTAATGGAAGTATTTTGCTTTTTATTGCCCCCTTTGGTCTCCTCCGACTTGCTGTCATCCTTTGGCACCTCGGTACTATTTTTGGATTTGCTTTCCATCTTTTTTTT